TGGCAACCTTTTTTCTCCGTTGAACTACGTGTTAAAGCCTCTTTACGTTTGAATTTTTTTTTTCTTAACCGGCGATGAAATAACTTATAATATTGATGAAAACGTAACTTGACTTTATTTCCAATACCTCCAAATCTTCTCAATTTTTTCCACAATTACAATAGGTCGAAAATTGATGATAAATTTGATGAATTTTTGAAAATCGTCATTCCCATGTAATCCAATGGGAAATGGAGGGTTCGGGGCAAATCAGAAATCAGGATATCTTTTCAGTAAAAGATTCAGCAAAAAATATTTTCATATAGAAAATTGAGTTGTCTAACTTTTTTGAACACTAAGTGTTTAGTTTATTTGATGAATATTAAAGTTACAGCGCTTCAAAGTCATTTTTGAAAAGAATTTTTCGCCCCCTGTCTTATTTCAATGGGAGAGGTTTTTTGAAAAACAATTTTGACTTTAAGGCCCTATAACTTTGTTGAACCTGAAGAAACATATCAATCTTTTGTTAAATAAAGTTAGCAAATTCAATTACCTCCCTAACTCGTATTTTTTGCAAGGACTTGGATGGATGGATATTCTGTCATATGACTTGCGGCAAACCTACCATTTCCCATTGGTTAACAAGGGAATGTCGATTTTCAAAAATTCATCAAATTCATCATCAATTTTCGACCTATTGTAATTGAGGAAAAAAATTGAGAAAATTTGGAGGTATTAGAATTAAAGTCAAATTACGTTTCCATCAATAGTATAAGTATTTTCATCGCAGGTTAAGTAAATAAAAATTCAAAGGTAAAGAGGCTTTAACACGTAGTTCAATGGGGGGAAAAAGGTTGCCAAACTTATGGAGGGGAGTGTACATGTATGTTGTATTTTACACTTCAAATTTTTTTCCCATTGACTTAACATGGGGCACCAAATTTAGCGATTTTGAGTTTTCAAAACGCCATAACTTCCGATGAGTGTTGGTTTAATGATATTGCAGTTATACAATGCTATTATATAGAGGTTATTTACTGAGAGGGATTCAATATTGGTTTTATTCCGGGACACATTATGATATTTCCCGAGGGCCCAGGGGGAATCTGGGATTACTGTACCCCTATCAATTTACCTTTTCGGGACCTAAATCCTCTTACCTACCTTTTTACTCTATCGGGGAGAACGAATCCAAAGAGAACAGTACTTCTACATGTGCGCTGTGCAAGATTTCCAATAGCTCGTCGTGTTTACCGAGAACGAAAGATGTTTGTCCACCATTTTGAATGATACTAACTGGTATCAGGGTCATCAAGCTATGGAACAGGGGTTTATGATAATAGATTGGGTTACTATAGCTTGCAATGTTAAAGGCGATTGAACTATGTTATAAAACAACTTCCAGTACATTATGATATTTAAAAGTATATATTTTTGAAAATACATATAAAGAATCTTCGCCCGCAGGACGTGTATTTTGAATGCCTGAGAAGAACGCAAATGGGTACTGGCCCGGTGTTGCAATAGTAGCATTTAAAAATCTGTTCCTCTCGAGATTTATGGTCTTCTGAAATTATACTATTAATTGGTGTTGTTGCATCATTGCTCAAATCTAGAGGAGTGTTGTTGCATCTTCGGTTTGGTGTTGTTGCATCAATAGTGAGGAACTAAAACCGTGAACTTCTTGCTTCTTGATGATGCTACATGTATACTAATGCCAGTTTCTTTAAATATAGATCGTGCGCTAACTTCATGTGTATGGTTATTGAGAAACTCGTCCTAGAAATGGGTTTAAATTGGGGAAACAACATATCGTACGAAAATCTATCACCGGAAGTCTGGCCATCTTGATGCAACAACACGGTGTTGTTGCATCACGATACTCCCCAGTGAATATTGTACCCTTGCTGAAGTAGACAATCATTTTCAATAGTTTGATTGATTTAGCAACATTACATTTTATAATTCCTTAAACAAAAATATGAAACCAACCTTTTCACTATAAATTCAATGATGTATGATTTCCATCCATTGACAGGTTCGATTTAATGCCGAGGTAAAGTTACAATCATATTTGAAACTTTTAAACACCTGTTTGCACTATAATATAATCCCCCTTTATAATATTGGCAACCCTGGCTATCCATGTGACAGTGTGTTAAAACCTATAAATGTTTAAATTTGAATTTTTCTCAGTTAACAAGATGTTAGATACTTGAATATCTGGATATTGCCAAGCAAAACAAAACTCTAACACATGATCTATGCAGAACCTTAAGTTGCCAAACTTATGGAGGGGGTTATATTGAATGTATTTACTGTATTCTAATAAATGTGAGTTTATGTGAGTGCATATATCTTGTTCATATACATTTACTGTCTTTAACAATCAAAATGTTCTTTCTTATCAAGTATTTTCAAACTGACCTCTCATATCTGAATAGTGAATTTAACTTGAAATAATCTTTGTAATCAATTAGTAATTCATTCAGATATACAAAATACTTTCTAGTTTCCATTGTCTTATCAAGTGTTTGGTCTTTTGATAATCTAATCAGGTGTGTGATTCTTTATTGTTTTTGAGTATGTTGTCCTTTGTTGTTCTAATTTAATGTTTAATTAATAGACTAGGTGCGAGTAGAAATAATCTTGATTTACGTCATTAAATATTCAAAATTGAGTCAAACTGATGTCATATTTGAAATCTACGTGTAAAAGTACTTCTAGAAATATGGTTTCGAAAATTGTTTATCAACTTTGAAAATTTAATTTGTTTTGAAAATGTGATTTCTAGTTCGGGTTGATTCCCCATAGACCCCATGTTACAAAATCACAAAAAGTGACATATCTTTTCTTGTATTGGACAGAGTATATTTTCCTTTACTGGACATATTTTAATTTTCATCACTATTAGATACATAAGGGTTATACGAAAATTGAACCACTAAAACAGATGTAATTTGAGTTAAAGGGAACTTTCTACTATACCCGCCATGTTATCTGACCCGAACGAGCCATCTGGTGGTGAAATTGGTAACTTCCTATTCGCATCTATGTTATTGTGTGATCGTTCTTTTTGAGTTTGTAGTCTATTATTGTTCTAACTGATATTAATCTTTGTGTGATTCTTCATTGTCCAAATGAAGCGTTTGATCCTTTTTTAACAGCGATTGAATGTTTCATTCTAACATTTTTGTTTTTTGCATATCTACAATTTATAGCTAATTATTACTGATTTGTTTTATTGTGCTAAAAATAGTATTTTTTCAATGTCTGTTACAAGTAGGTCACTATGCCCTGTATATATTCATCAAAATCATTTCCTTCTAATATTTTTTTTGCATCTCTGCAATTTATAGCTGATTATTGATTTGCTACATTGTGCTAAAAAAAGAGTATTTTTTCAATGTCTGTTACAAGTAGGTCACTATGCCCTGAATATATTTATCAAAATCATTTTCTAAATGTAGCTTCCAAATTAATTGTTGGGCATTGTTACAAAACTTCAGTTCTGTTTCTGAGAACAATCTAAAAATAACTTATATTACTCTTCCACACAGTTCAAGATTTTGATTGACAGCTCTATATTTGGAACATGAAATTGATGGCCTGTGTTAAAACTCCAAGGTCAAGCTGATCTGGTCACTCACTAAGACAATTTTAGATCTGATTTTTCATCGAAATTGATCGATTCTATATTTATATTTCTCAGTCAAAACATATTTATAGAAAAATTGACCTCAGAAACCATTATTGTCTGTCTAATATCAGTTTAAGTAAGAGGTTTTAATCATGATTATTTTTGTCCGAAAGGGGTATTTTGCAGTGTTTTGTAGGACTGTTTTGTCAAAGAATTTCAATAGAAAGCATAATAACCGAAGTTCAGGGTTTCATTTGAATTTTTTTGTGATGGAATAATCAGTTCTACTAGATAAAGATGCTGATTCAATGTTTATTTAATAAAATGAGGCACTTTTAATGAATATCAGAACTCAAAATGACATAATGTCACCAGTCCAAGCCCCTCTTTTTAATATTTTAATATTTTAGGTAAACACCTCATTTTAAAGAGTCCATCTTTTCAAACAAATTTTTGAGTGATCCTTTATTGTTAAAATCAAGTGTGTGAAATTGTTAATCTTTTTTAAATGTGTTCTTTTAAGTGTGTGGTCCTGTATTATTCTAATTGAGTGTTTGATCCTGATCTAATTATTAAGTGTGTGATGTCATTTGTCATATAATTTATCATTCAATCATAGTTTATTGTTAATTGTAATTAGAAAATTATGTTTTCAACATAATATTCATATTGCAATAATTTTAAAGCTTTTTTTATAAACCAAGACCTTCAATAACTGAATATTATGTGGGAGTTCCTTACTTTTTCAAATAACAATCCATTTTTACCTTACTGTGTATCAATTTCAAAATTGCATGTTGTTTTGTAGTTAGACCATGGTGATGGTGTTATTTGAGAATAGATATTTTATAATGCTGCTTTAAAAACTTTCACAATATGACACATCACAACATGTTTAAATGACACATCACAACATGTTTAAATGACACACCACTACATGTATAAATGATACATCACTACATGTGTTAATGACATATAACTGAAAGTATAAATGGTGCAGATTATATGTTTAAATGACACATAACAGCATGTATAAATTACACATAACTGCATGCATAAATGACACATCACAATATGAATTATTGACACATCACAACATGCATAAATGACACATCACTACATATATAAATGATACATCACAATATGTATAAATAACAGAGATGCACAAGAGAAACATTATTATGTCGATTGAGTAGTCACGTACATTCAAAAAATTATAATTTGTAAGTGAACCAACTTTGAAATGACAACACACTTTCATTGTTATGCCATTCAGGCTTCCCTGTGCAAATTTTCTAAATTAACTTATAGCAGTAAGATGAGGACTTAATCTCCAATTTGAACTTTTCAATATTTCACAATATTTATCTCTCGTTTCCAGGATCATCAAGAGTATGGAACACCAGCGAATCAGCATGAGTCCAACTGGGACAGATTGCGGGAGAGTGTGCAGTCGAATTTCACTCCACAACCAGGACCTAGTCAGAACCCCAAATCATCGTACTATAGAACGCGGGAACAGTCACCCCCTCTACAGGGTTCAAACAGTTCCTTAAAATCACCATTGAATAATCGAGTGTCGTATGATATTGCTATAGAGAGGGGCGATAATCTCAGCAAAAGACAGAAAGGATCAAATTCAAAGGTGGATTCTAATTGGATATTGACCAGTTCTACAAGTAGCCTTTCCCCATCACAGCCTAGTAGTCAGCAAAGCTCTGTGTCATACTCACAGGGTCAGGATTTTGGTGGGGTCAGACAAGGAGTACGATGGAACATCAATAGATATGGAAGCAATGAAGACTTGTTAATGAGACCACGATCGAAAAACGAGCCAACCACTGAGCTCTGATTTATCTAATGTAACGAGGATCATGGCAAACCATCCAATATTACGACTGATTGAAAGAGGCCCAAAAACTAAGCTGTAACAAATCACTTGCCTAAATAATCTGCACCATATTAATAATCATAACTTACGCATAATAAAATAAAATATTTTAATTAAATGTTCAATTAAAATATTGTTAGTCTATATGGTATTTTTGACTTAAAGGCCACTTTAGGTTAGTTGTTCGTTTTGTGGAAATTACTTCGATAATTATTTCGATAATGCCCATTCATATGTCAACATATTCCATGTATTCAATATACATGTATGTGCAATTTCCATTTCTCATATTAAAATGCATTTTAAAATCTTGAATTATTTGTAGAAATATTGTTCCGCACCACATGCCTCATCTAGAACTTGTCCCCTTTAGCCAGCATGCAAAATACAATAAAAACATGGGGTAACCGGACAACTCATCCCCTAGACAACTCATCCCTGGACAACTCATCCCCTAGACAACTCATCCCCTGGACAACTCATCCCCTGGACAACTCATCCCCTAGACAACTCATCCCCTGGACGACTCATCCTTTCCATTTACATAACAATAGTAAGGTATTAAAGCGATGATTCTGTTGTCTCTTGATAGGGATGAGTTGTCTAGGGGATGTCCGTAAGCCAAACATGGTTACGATATACAATTTATTTTATTTTACAAGAATATTGTATCTGAATTTTCCACAAATAGCAGTGTTCAGTATATTTTGATATATTATCTGCAAATTTACAACTGAAATAATTCATAATATATAGATTTTATATATCCATACAATAGTACAGTAAACATGTCTTGAAATATAAAGAATTCCAATCAATTTTGTACCAGACATTCCATCATGTAATTCCATTTAGTAATATAAACAATATTACATGTACATTCATTAACTGCATATACTGTTCTAAACTGTATTATTTTTATATGCCCTAAACTGTACTGAACAGTACTCTCATGCTCTACACCGTATTGAACAGTACTGTACTGTACTGTATTGTACTGCAATATTATGCCATGTACTGTATTGTACTGTACTGTATTTTGCACATTACATAGATGATTTAATGTCCTGCATTGTTAAATCAACCTGAAGGAGAATGGAAGAAGTCTCTGTTAAACTTGGTATATTTACTAAAGATTTATTCCTGTGTATGTTTATAAATGTACATGTACAAAATGAATGAATGAATGATTTGTAATGAAGATCATTTGTAATTTATTTAGTACAAATGGTGCATATGTTGAAAGTTGTGAGAAAATGAAAACTCAGAATGTTGATTTGCCTTTCACTCAAAAGTCAATATTTTTACTCCCAAAAATCTTCATTTACAATTTACTTCTTATTGAGAATTAACTTCTTTTTTCCACAACTATTGACATTTTTACACCATGTAAGTCATTAAGAAGGACAACATATTCGAGTTTGATGTCCATGTTCCATTATATAATGATTTGTAAATATACAGTTGTTCACCTTAAGTTGACCGAATATGCCCATATATGTGCAGGTACAACCAACTGAACATAACATGTAAAATTATACATATCTATTTTTTCTAATAAAATCTAACATAAATTAAATATTTTAATTGTTGGTTAGAGTTACAATGTAACAATTGTTTAGTATTATAAGTTATATTTAGTCATAAAAGTGAGCAATCAAGACCTATACAAAGCATAACATGCAATATGTCACCAACTGCCATTTGTTACAGACACCATTTGTTACAGGCGTCGATTGCTGAACATCGACCTCTGTCCACAAAAAAGTTGGAGACTACAACAATATGTCACCACTTGCGGTGGTGACATAGAAACCCCAAACATTGAGCTACTTAGGCCATATTTCCAGCCAAAATGATGTCATGCTTTTAATTCATGATATGGACCAACAATTTAGCCATGGTTTATTTGTCCTATTTGGCCATCTTTGATTCCAGTGTAATGATTGACACTATGTCCAGAATGCTGACTCCTATATCCATGATTTGAATCCCCATGTCCCGAACTTCTGTGACTATGTCCAGAATTTCCATGTCCATATCCAGAACCTCTGTGACTATGTCCAGAATTTCCATGACCATATCCAGAATTTCCATGACCATATCCAGAACTTCGGTGACTATGTCCAGAATGTCCATGCTTATGTCCAGAACTACCATGTCCATATCCAGAACTTCGGTGACTATGTCCAGAATGTCCATGCTTATGTCCAGAACTACCATGTCCATATCCAGAACTTCGGTGACTATGTCCAGAATTTCCATATCCAGAATTTCTGTGTCTATGTCCAGAATTTCCATGACCATGTCCAGAACTATGTCCATATCCAGAATTTCTATGGCCAAAACCTGAATTTCGATATCCAGAGTGATAATCTGATTCCAAGAATCCAAAACCGCTACTGGATCCCCCAACTCTTACAACAGAGGCTGCCGCAACAGGGGCTTTTGCTTGAACAACTGCAGGGGGCGCTGCATCACGGAACCCTTTCACAATTGACACCTGGACATCAGTGCTGTTCAATTCTGTTGCATTCAGACTACCATTTATACTTCTTAAAAAAGCAGAATTGAATGTGTCAGTTAAAGGATTATATCCATCAGGACAAGAACACGTAGGGGCATCGAAGTCACATCTTTCGCTGGTTTGATTGAAAACGAGGAAGTAGGGGCAGTATTGGGACGGGAGGGGGATGCCATCTATACATTGGTAGTATGCATGGGGATTGTAAGGGTCACAGTACCATCCATCTGTAGGGCAGGCATTGGAACCTGAAAAAGTATCCATATTGTATTACGAACAGTAGTATTTAACATGTTTAACATGTAATATATGTATATGGTTTTAAAATATGTTACCCATTCATAAGCCACACCCACTATACCCTCTAACTAAAACAAATGATTTTTCTGTTTTAACAATCACAAGCTGAACCTTTATGGTATTTTCTAGTTTGAGAATGGAATATCTGATTATTGATAAAGTTTTGATCAAGAGTGTAGGTGAAGGTGAGCTGTTGCAAAGGGTGAAAATGTTTTAATTAAGTCAGATACACTCCCCTCCATAAGTTTGGCAACCAGTAGTTTTCATGGGATATAGCATATCAAAGGCTGTCAATGTCTGAATCTTGATCTTGTTCCTCAGTTACAATAATTTGGAAAATGATTTAGAAAACTTTTAAATGGGGCCATAAGACCCTACATTAGAATTAATGCATTAGACCTTAAGTAGAATTAATTGAGATTATATAACTAATAACTTTAATTGAAAATTTTTTTAAAATATTTGATGTACATAGAAATAAATGGGCTGATCGCAAGAATTACGGGGCTGAAAATTTTTTTCAAAAAAATGAAAATTGATGCTTTTTAAATCAGGAAACACAAACAAGCTTTGATAAGATGATCAAAAAGAGAACTTGCACTTGCCAAACTTATGGAAGGAAGTGTACATCATTTTGTATACTTACAATAGAAAGCGTATGTTGGTTCATTCTCGGGACATGTACAATTCACATTGACATGTTCCTCATAGTCACAGTAATGGTAAACAGGGTGAAAAAATAATCCTGGGGGACAGAGAGTGGCGCGTGACTTCTGCCCAAATAGACACCAGTAATAAGCAGCTGGGAGGCCTGGCACACAGAATATTCCATCAAACGGACAACTGTCTGTACCTAGAAGAATTGGCTATTTGTTGAACAATTGTAAATGAATTTCTGCAATTTCTCAAAATATTCAAACTAAAATAGTAACTATATTTCTAAGTTGTTACTTGTAAAAAATGAAAATCTAATTCCTTGCATAATTTGATGCATCAAAAGCTATTGTGCATTCTGTGCATTATATTACAAATTTAATATGTTCCATTTTAGGATCAGAATCACAGTTCAGTGAATATATAAATATTGAATGGAAATATGTGCTTTTTGTATACTACAGTTACACCTGTATATCCAAACCCCTCTTTTATCCGAACACCTCTCAATGTAAACACTTTTTCTTGGTCCCATTTGTTATATCTCATTGACTAACAATGTTTATAAAACCTTGAGATTTGAACACCTGCTAATCTGAACACTTTTGGCCAGTCCAAGAAGCTTTTGGATTAGACAAGTTTTACAATAATAGTACTTACAATTCACATTATCAGACCTCAAGGCCAAATTATCAAAGTTTTGCTGAATACTTCGAGTCTCTTGTGGTGTTTGAAACGGGAATGCCGCAATTGGATCTCTGGGGGTGACACTTTGAGAACAATTGCACGTAGCTGTCACATTCCATGGCCAATCACAAAGCAGTGTGAACGGGTTGAACATGAGATCATCTGGGCAGAACTGGGTCGGGGATTTTGTGCCATTGATACAATGGTAGTAGGCATTTGGGTAACCTTCTATACAGTGGGTGCCTCCCGTCGAATCCTCACAAGCAAAACTACCTGCAAATATGAATATTTGTTTGCTTGTTAACTTCAAAATGATCTTTGGTTCTTGGGGAAAATGTTATTGGAAAACTGATGAATGTGAAATTATTTTCTATAAAGTATGATAATTGAAATAGGAATTTGGAATCATAAGAGAGGGTAATTTTAAGCAAAGAAATCTTCAAGAAAAGCAATTTGCCAGAAATATATTTTTGGCGAAATCAAAAAACTGTATCATATTTAGAATTGTTTTTTTTCAATTATTTGGTAGCATATTTCAACATAAGCGAAATGCTTGAAAAAACTCCCCTGATTCATTCTACAAGCAACTCCCCTTCCAATCACTGTAATTTGAAACAATAAAGCTCATAAGAAACATTTATCCATCAACTATACTCACAATTTGGATGATGAACATAATAATTTGATGGGTTGCCAATCTCACATTTTCCAATGATCACAATAGCTGCGGTTACCAAGGCAACCAGTATGCAGGTCTTTGACAACATTTTGAGCCTCAGTGTTTAAACCTAAAACAGTAGCGAGCATCAGCATATTATCACATTGTAAAACTTTTAAAGAACTTTAGGCTGGGGGTAAAGGGTAAGGTGTGGCAATTTAAATATTTGAAAAATGGATTCAAAGTAAACTTCTGTCTTGATGAAAGCTGGCTACAGGCCTGATATTAAATATAAAATTAATTGTACTTAAATGTACACCAATATATATTTCTTGATTCCCCCCTCCCTGCAATGGAGCAATGACATCCATGTTATCAGAAATCATCTCATTTTTGACCAGACTTTCAAAAATTAACTTTTGAAAGTTAATTTAAATTAATAGTAATACATTCACAATTAATTTTGATAATGTTATATTGCTATAAAGTTAGAAATACATACAAACCTAATTTTCGTAAGCATAAACTTGTACATCCTGGGCATCATACATTAGATTCATAATCCAATATAACATCTCAGTATATCCATTATCCCTTGTCAGTTTTTACCTCAATGTTTTGGAATGCACCAAGAAATAAAAGTTAAGCTGATGAAGTTAATATTCAAGCTTCAAATTAATACATCTCTTTTGCGTCACAGTTCTCATTTGTGTCGTTAAGTGTTTAAAATACATTGACAATATTGTTGTATTATAAGTGAGAAATACTCAATTAATTTAACTGTACATTGCATTAAGTGAACAAGTGTATAAACAGTGTATTGAGTTGAAATATATTATGCAATCATACATATTCAAAACCCTTGGGCCATTGCTATCTTAATTGTAATTAAGCCCAATATGATATGAATCTATGCATTCAGAATTAAACTGGTTAATATATTTAAATTCGGCACATCGTAGTTGAACTGAACACTTTATTCATTACATAAACTTGACGTTTTAATATCTTATCATCGTTAACAGGAAATAAAATGAAAACATTGTTTAGATATGTGTCTGATCTCAAATGGATGATATGTTTTCCATATGGTTTCTGACCCACATATAAGAATACATTTACTTTACTTTTAGCTAAGTATGGACACCAGGGTAAATCCAAATATGTGAGCTTTTACTAGTTTTAATCCAATTTTTCAAATCAGATTTGATGGTCCTGGTAATTGTCAAGTGAAGGCAAGTCTTATTGAAGAATTACCAAGTGGGCAATTCCTTAGGTTTACCATGAACCAATAATTTTAAAATAATTGATAAGCAGTCAATCAAGGGTCAGAAAAGACAGAAATAGGTTGAAAAATGGCAACAGGATTTAAACACGTTGAAATGCAGGATTTGAGATTGTTAGCAGACTGCCATTCAGATTATAAAAATTCGATCAATTATTAATGATCATTAATTTAATTTGAGTGTCAATAACCACAGCAAGAGTGAAGATCCGAATACATTAATTAATTGTAAAAAAGCAATAATTAAAAATTTGAAAGGTCACTTAAGCTGGCCATCAATTATCTCATTCTTCATATGTCATTATTTCTTTGTACTTGAAAAAGGTCAGAATCTAATTTAATTCAATATAATTATTTTGGAGTCAAAACAGAAAAATGTGCTTATAATGGATCATTTGTTTCCCGCAAGCAGCCCATATTCATTGAATCGGCAAAATAGAATTTCAGTTCAACATGATCAGTATATGTAAGAAATATGCTGGGAATTTCCTAGTTGTCGCGATCATACTCATCCTGTGTAAATATATTTTACAAAATATTACGCAGAGTGAAATGAGGGACGAAATACATAAGGAAACAATACAAAATACAGAGAGAAGAGACAATAAACCCCTCAATATTATACGACACACAAAGGAGATGACAGAAGATAGGTATAGGGATATTATACCAAACATAGATGAGAGAATCCCAGAGAAGAAACATGTGGATATTAAGGGATACAAGAAAGAGACTACAGAGGATATATCCGTTAACACTGCACAAAACAACGTTACTTTAAACCGAGTATCATGATTTGTTCATATTTTTTATTTATTCGTATCAATGAGGATTCATGAATTCAATGTTGAGAGATTTTTTTTTTAATTTTTTTTTATCATTCATTAGCATACAAATCAATATTTCAAAATGAAATATTTCAAAAACTTTAAATACATTTTCTCAGTCAACAATGTTTCTAACATATTTTTCATATTCAAACATTACTGATATATTTTTCTCTCATTCTTTGAAAACTTAAAGTCATGTGTAGTTTTCTTTATTACAAGTGACTTGTATAATAACTTTTTATCTAATATTCCCATCCCTATTTTCTCATTATCATTTAAAGCTACATCTTTCCAAATATTTTTATTTTTTGATTTAAACAAGCTCTTAAAATGTTATATTGCATTAAAGTTTCAGCATTTGTTCCTATCAATTCAGAAATGACCTCATATGGTTTTAAGTGTCCATTCACAACAACATCTGATATGTAGATTAAACCCTTTTCTATCCACTTGTGAAAGTACAAGGGATATCTACTTAATACAATATTTCTGATATTCCATATTATAGATTCATCTGTATAATTGCTATTCTCAAGCCATGTAAATAATAATTTTTTATAGAAAATGCTCAAATGAGCAATACCTTTCAACTGATCAGCACTTATATTGCTATTGAGAACACTAAACTTTTTACCTAATTTTCCATACATATACTCAGGTATAGCTCTCCAGTGGCCATGGCCATTCTCTGTTAATCTTTTAATCCATTGAATCATGTATGCAATTTGTAAGTCTTTACAGTTAATCATTTTTAAACCACCACAATCATAGCCTTGTACTAAAATATCTCTTTTTACTTTATCAGGCACCTTTTTAAGGTCCTCCTCTTTGAATTTTCCTTTTGCCCATATGAACTTGAACATCATGGTGTTAATTTCATTTAACAATTTATCTGGTACAATAAATGATTGCATTAAATACGAAAATTTAGATAGCAAAAGTGATTTAACAATAACAATTTTACCAATAACAGATAAACTTCTGCCATTCCATGATTTCATGATATTTTCACACTTGATAAATTTTGGTTCAAAATCAACATAATTTTCAACACTTGTTGAAGGACTAAAGGTAATTCCTAAAATCTGTATACAATTTTCTGGATATATTTTCCATTTAATTTCACCAGGATTGTCCTTTCGATTTTTCCACTTACCTAGCCACAAAGCTTCAGTCTTTTTAACATTTAATTTTAATACAATATTTCTGATATTCCATATTATAGATTCATCTGTATAATTGCTATTCTCAAGCCATGTGTCATTTGAAAATATATAATCTAATCTCCTTGCAATATTTCTGGTTTTATGTTTCCAGGTAAAATTCTTTACATCTGCATTATGCATTCTCCAAGTATCAATTACATCAGTTGTGTTAACAAAATGGTTAAATGCATCTATTTCATTTTTATTATGATTAGCACCAGCAATATTATCTATGTTAGCATCCATTACACAATTAAAATCACCACAAATCACAAGGTTTATATCATTCTTGTTAATATTTCTAACAATATTTTGAATTTCGTGATAAAATGCAATATTTTCCTTTGATTTATTTGGAGCATAAATATTACAAACCACAAATGTTTCATTTTCAACACTAAATTCAACCATTAAAATTCTGTCTTGTTTGAAGATTATATGTATATTTTCAGCGTCACAATTCTTGTTTATTAAAATTACAAGGGATATCTACTTAATACAATATTTCTGATATTCCATATTATAGATTCATCTGTATAATTGCTATTCTCAAGCCATGTAAATAATAATTTTTTATAGAAAATGCTCAAATGAGCAATACCTTTCAACTGATCAGCACTTATATTGCTATTGAGAACACTAAACTTTTTACCTAATTTTCCATACATATACTCAGGTATAGCTCTCCAGTGGCCATCGCCATTCTCTGTTAATCTTTTAATCCATTGAATCATGTATGCAATTTGTAAGTCTTTACAGTTAATCATTTTTACACCACCACAATCATAGCCTTGTACTAAAATATCTCTTTTTACTTTATCAGGCACCTTTTTAAGGTCCTCCTCTTTGAATTTTCCTTTTGCCCATATGAACTTGAACATCATGGTGTAATTCTATTTAACAATTTATCTGGTACAATAAATGATTGCATTAAATACGAAAATTGAGATAGCAAAAGTGATTTAACAATAACAATTTTACCAATAACAGATAAACTTCTGCCATTCCATGATTTCATGATATTTTCACACTTGATAAATTTTGGTTCAAAATTAACATAATTTTCAACACTTGTTGAAGGACTAAAGGTAATTCCTAAAATCTGTATACAATTTTCTGGATATATTTTCCATTTAATTTCACCAGGATTGTCCTTTCGATTTTTCCACTTACCTAGCCACAAAGCTTCAGTCTTTTAACATTTAATTTTAAACACGACACATCATAAAAAGCTTTAAAAACATGTATTGTATTATGAAAAGATTGTTCATCATGTCAAAATAAAGAGGTATCATCTGCAAATTGCAGTATCTTTGTTTGATCAGCACACCCTTGAATTTTAATACCTTTTATGTTTTTTTTCTTGTCGAACCTTACAAGACAGTAGTTCACAAGCTATTATAAATGTCAGTGGAGATAATGGGCAGCCCTGCCGAATGCCACGGTGCAGATTAATGTCTCCAATTACCCATCCATTATTTAAAATGTGGTTATGGCCATTTTTATTAATAACATCAACCCATTTGATAAATGATGGTCCAAAACCAAAGTACTCTAATGAATGCAACATGAATTCCTTAGATATCGAATCATACGCTTTTTCATAATCTATTGTTAGCATTATCCCTTGCAAATTATTACTGTCAATATATACAATCAAATCATCCACCGCTCTTAAAATTGTAGCAGCACTTCTACCTTTAATGTAACCACTCTGGTCTTCATGAATAATTGTTTTAATAACAGTTTTCAATCTATTCGCTTATATTTTCGTTGCAATCTTATAATCTATATTGGTCAGTGTCAAAGGACGCCAATTCTTTAACTCATCTCGAGGTAAGTTCTTTTTGGGAATTAATACCATTAAGCCAGTTTTCTGTGAAGGAGATAGTTCTCCTTTAACAAAGCCTTCATTTAAAGATTCTAGTACACTATTTCCTATTTTAACAAAGAACATTTTATAAAATGCAGCTGTTATTCCATCTAACCCTGGGCTGGATTCATTTTTCATATCTTTAATTGCTGCTATACATTCATCTTTTGTTATTAAACCTTCACACTTGTTTTTGTTTTCATTGCTCAGTTTTGGAATTTCGACCCCATTTAAGAAGTCATCAAGAGTTGCTTTCCTGTATTGTATTTTCTTTGCATAGAGATCAATGTAAAATCTATTAATTTCAATTGCAATTTGTTTGTTATCAGTTACTTTTAAGCCTCCATTAAGTTTCAAAGAATAAATGTGTTTTTTATTGGCTTTTGCCTTTTCTAAAGACAGAAAATATTTTGTGGTTTTTTCTCCTTTTTCGGACCATTGTGCCTTTGACCGTATTTGTGCACCCTTTGCTTCAGTCAGTGATAACATTTCATATTGCATTTTACATTCATTTACCTTTTGATTGGCTAATATGTTCTCAGGGTTTTTACATAAACATTTGCATGCATTTTCTAACTTGACTCTTGCTAATTTTACTTGACACCGCTTATCTCTAGCCAAGCTCTTGCTAAAACCTACTGAAAAATCTTTAATTCGTATTTTGCAAAAGTCCCATAAAGTTTGCTTATCTAAATTGGTTTCATTTAAGAGTACACTTTCCAACAATTTGTTCATTTCATTTACATAGTCCTTGTTTTGTAATAAACTATTATTCATCTTCCAATAAGAAGGTCCCTTTATATCATTATGCATGTTTACAGTAATAACAACACCTCTATGATCCGAGGTAGGTATGTCAATTATATCTGAGCAGACAATTTTATCAAACACAGTGTCATTTGAAAATATATAATCTAATCTCCTTGCAATATTTCTGGTTTTATGTTTCCAGGTAAAATTCTTTACATCTACATTATGCATTCTCCAAGTATCATTTACATCAGTTGTGTTAACTAAATTCAACCATTAAAATTCTGTCTTGTTTGAAGATTATCCTTGAACATTTCCAGAGTAAATGTTAACCATATAGTGATAGTTTTAAAATATAAATTATCAATCTTTGTCATCTGGTGCTGCATCATTAATTTTCTTGCTTTGTTGCTTGTGTGTTCCATTGGTCTCACTTTCAGCATTGTTGTTCATCAATATTGGTGATCTCAGCTTGTGCTTTTTATCACTGTTGGGATCTAAGGGTGGGCTCATTGCAGCTCGCTTCAAGGTGGGAATGGATGACTTCCATTTGGGCTTCATTACATCAGTCTTGTTGTTGGGAGATATCCCTAATCAAACTGATGGCTTGTAAACATTGTTCAATATTAGTACATTCATCTGTGATCATTCTGTGAAAATATAAAATTAGTATTTTTGGCCCATTGGTGCTGAGCATTCTCCCTATCATCTGTATTATGTCTGTTCATCTGTCAATAATTTTTGAACAAAAATAAAAACAATAGCTGTTGTTAACTTGTTACCATGGCAACCAGTATGTAAGTCTTTGACAATATTCTGAGCTTCAGTGTTTAAACCTGAAATATTAAAAAATGAAAACTGCAATTCATCCAAACATATCCCTTTTATTGGATTTCATGCAGAGCTAATTCTTTTGATCTTAATGAATAATTCTATGCACTTCACTTATCTCTAATATATTGACCTACTGCAATAAGACTTACTTTTCCAACTTGCAATATTCTTTAAAAATGACCATTAAAATAAGAAAGAAATTTTTTTTTAAGTTTTCAAAAATTAATAAAGTACATGTATACCTTTATCCAAATTGTTGGTAACTTGTGAATGAAGAAACAAGCATTAAGAACCATATAATCCCACTAAATGGTGGCATTTTTATACTTTATAATAAATATATTTTGTTCTTCAAGAATCATATCATGAATTATGCACTTTTCAATAACCATATCTTGAACATGTATATTGGAAAATGAATTCCTTTTAATCCTAAAACAGAATTCAACAATTCAATCTGTCAGAACTTTGATACATTTGTGAATAACAAACATGACCCTTTAACAGAAAATATGAAAATCATGATCCTTTAATAATTCTAGAAAATGTACTACCCCAATGGAACACTAAAACAATTTAGAAACAATGTAAGAATTAAAGAAATATATTCTAGAATGATGAAAGAATGTCGATCAGCTGATCAATTAAGAGAGTTAGATACAAGTGAGCTTACTTTTCCATTCGAACACTTTTTACTAAAAACAACTGCTGTCGTCAAAACTCAATATTATATCAACTTGAAAAAAACATTGGCAAAAATGCCCCCCAATGCGCAGGTTCATGTAATCGGACTCACAAAATCATACCTGGAATCATTTTTAAATTGGATGATATTTGCAAAAATATATGTCCGTCCCTATATCAGGAATATACTAGTCGTGACATCAGAGAGTAAATTATGCGCATATCTTAATGAGCTACGATTTGATTGTATATTCATGGAACTGACTGATATAATTAACATTGACCTTATTTACGAAGATTTCAAAATGAATCCGGTTGTTCTTAATAATCCCAATGGGTTAACTCCGGAGCAAACAATTCTTCTCAAGATTCATTGGTTGATGAGGATTGTTACATGGCGATTGGTCAACTTCTTTGGATTAGACGTAGTAACACATGACACAGATGCAATACCTTTGAAGAACACAGAATGGATTTATGGGAAATATCCTGAGGCTGATTTCATTGGACCAGCAGTGGGGCACATCCCAGGCAAGCTTGTGATTGGGTGGGAGTTCTACACATTTAATATGGGAATGGTGCTTATGCGTGCATCCCTCCAACAAAGTAGGCAAAACTCCATTTTCAAAAATTTACTCATTGGTGTTGTTATTTTTCAAGACACTCAAAATGAATGAAAAACACATGTACTGGCTCATCTAAACACGTATGTCCCTGTTGTGAAAACCTGTCAACTGTGGTGAACACCTGTCAACTGCAGTGGAAACATGTTACATGTAGTAAAAACCTGTCATGTGTAGTGAAATCATGATCGGAACATACTCCTTTGCCCTAAACATGAAAATCTTCTTAAAGTAAACATGATTTTGGGCTCCAAAAGTGCTCATAAATATAAAAATGTTAATGTACAGGGTGTCCAAAAAAACAGGACCGTAAGAAAGTTGAATAACTCGGTCAATTTTGCATATTTTGCCTTGAAATTTCAGAATTATTTAGTTCATTCAATGTGAATTTTGTTGTGAAAGTTTGGTAATAATCTACCAATTGAGTCAAAAACTACAGCTCCTTACAAAACATGCCCCAAATGTGCAAATCTCATCTCTATGCACGATTCAATCCAGCGAACAAAGCTGTTGATGATCCTCCTACACACATGTCTATCTGAATGGACAAGTTTGTTCCAAGAACAATTGCTACTGGGGCTTACATCCTCCTGATGAAGTGTTACAGCAACCATTGCATTTTGAACAATGCACTCCCTGAATGGCAATGAGGGAAACATGGAATCATCAGTCCCTTTTGGTTCGAAGGTGACTGGGGACTTGCTATCACCATGAACAAGGACCAGTATGTTCTCACCAAGTTTTGGAGGTCAGTAAGCACCAGAAGGGACATCTAAGGAGATAATTAAGCAGTGGTTTCAACAAGCCAATACCACCCCAACACTGCAAATGATATGCTGAAATGGTTTAGGCAATGCTTTGGTGGTCAGCTCATCAGTTGCAGAACGCAAACCAAATGGGCAGCTCATTCGCCTGATCTAAATCCCCCAAATTTTTATCTTTGAGGATTTATCAAAGCCAGTGTGTATACTGACAGGCCCCTAACAATCTTTAGAGGGCAATAACTACCCCAATATTTACCATGCACATTAATGTGTATAGGTAAGGGTCATTAACAACTTTGTTCGCAGGATTCGTTTGTGCATAGAGAAGAGAAGTGCCCACTTTGAGCATGTTTTGTAAAGGACTAGTATCTGATTCAATAAACAGATTATCATCAAACTTTCAGAACAAAATTCACATTGAATGAACTAAATAATTCTTAAATTTCAAGGCAAAATATGCAAAATTGACCGAGTCATTCAACTTTCTTATGGTCCTGTTTTTTTTGGACACCCTGTATATATAATTTAGCCCATCCTTTGTACCCATTCTACCATAACTGGTGCATCCTACATGGGCACTTTTATTATCATAAATATAATCTTATCCATTACTTTGTTTCAGAGAAATTTTGGAGTCAACTTAATTTATTCACAAAAGGAAGGACGTCTTATAGCGATATAGATGACCAAGTTGCAATAAACTACGCAATCTCATGTTTCAATATCACATGGCAACACCAACCAGTAATTCTGTTCCCCGAGGGAAAAATTATTGGTGATAAAAAACCATATATGAAAACAGTAGAAAATACTTTACTCACTGAAATTGTCAGGGGAGTAAGTAAATTAAATGTAACAGTTGTAGGTGTACCAGGAAGGATGTTCTGTCGATTCGATTGCGACGTGACTAGATTTAGTCAGTATTCCTTATGGCATAGTCCTGTGAAAACACTCAATGGTGAACTATGGCTTTTAACCAGTAAGTGGGAGGATATCGTTAATAACACAGATTTGGTAGGAACAGATTTACTTGCCCGTATTACCAACGACACTCACATGGAATTCTTAAGAAGCATCGCCAAATGATAATTTGTGAAGTTCAAAAGCCTTATCCTATGATGACAGGTGTTCTAGAGCCTTACCAATTGAAAACAAATGGATTTATGCAAAATTGAAGTTACAACGAAAATAATATATTCTGATATAACAAGGCATTAACATGCAAAATGCCATTTGTTACAGATGCTAACCACTGACAGCTGTTAAGGCAACAAACACCAAATACCAAACTCCAAGTGCCAAACACCAGCCACAAAAAAAGTTGGAGACTATTACAATATGCTGACATAATATAGTATTACCATATTGCCTCTTGATACCAAAATTAAAACATGTGGATTCACATAAGATAAAACAAAGAGTCTTGCCAAATGATAATAATAAATGGAACAGAGGACAATCCATTTAATACATTTGGTAACAAATAACTACACACTAAAAACATAATTTTTCAGATTTTGAAATAAATAAACATTTATAATTTGATATTATTTTGTGTTTACAGATTTGTAGATCCAAACACATGGATTCATACATGTATGAGGTATGAGGTAAATTGGGTCACCAGCACCATAGATGGTTATATCAACTGAGACTCTGCACTATTTCAGTCCAAAACCACTTAATTTCCAACAACTACCAACTTAAATTCAATGTTCTCCTATTATAGAATCTTAAAATATTGTCACCAAATTCTGCCAAATCAACTCGTTTCCAATTTCAAGAAAATGGTGAAAACATCAAATCAATTTAGTGACAATTTAAACTAATTAAATGAGTATTATTTATGAAAATCCAACCATCTTTTTTATTTCCTTAATATTCTGTTCAGCGACAGTTCCAGCCTTTTCTGCACCTTTAGTTAAAACATCTTCAATATAAGTCCTATCAGACTTGATCCTTAGGATTTCACTTCGTATAGGAGCTAGGGTGTCTATAATTGCCGCAGCAACTGTGTCCTTAATTTGAACCTTGTTGAGATTTTTTAAGTCATTAATAGCAGCCTCTGTGTCCTTATTACTAAAAGCTGCATAAATATCACAAAGGTTTGCAACACCAGGCAGTTCTGCTGAATTGTAGGAAAACTCCTGAATTGAGTCAGTGGTTGCTTTTTTGATTTTTTTCCGAATTTCAGCGTCAGTGTCAGTTAGGTCAATTCTGCTTGTAATATTAGGGTCGGATTTACTCATTTTCTTTTGAGGGTCTCGTAAGCTTTTGATCTTCTTAACATCCCCTGTAGAACAAAAACATAAAAAATATTTTATCTATTTTGGATTCATGTAATGTATACAGGTGATTCAAAAAGTATTAGGTGAGAGATAATGACTCATGTGTCCAAATGTTAAGTCCATATATGGATAGGTTGAAATGTTAAGTCCATATATGGACAGGTTGAACTCAAATTATTTTTTCAACTCCTTCCAAATTAAAAATTAAAAGTTCAAAAGAGAAAAGTCGCTTGAGTCAAGTTTGTGGTGAAATATAGCTTTTCTCAACATACCTATAACAGCTTGGGGTTGTGGGAAGAAGTGACCATATGCTTTGTTGAATGCTTTGGCTTGGTCTCTAGCTAACTCTATATGTTTCAACTGATCGTCTCCTACTGGAACGTGGGTGCCCCTTTTGAAATAAATTAGTTTAAGGGTAGATTTTTATATGTTTTAACATTGGGCTAAAATACATAACGAGAGTCAACATGATTACAAAGTATATGTGTTGATAAATGCATTCTATGAAGTGTGGAATCAATAGTGACAGCGGTTACTCAGGAAACACTCATTTCCGCTAAGACTTCCCTGATTAACCCATTTAAATGGCAGAATGCCTAATCTTATACAGGACATACTCACTTGTATAGTAGTATGTCTGCACTCTGCAGAACTGGGTAAGTAAACAACCCTAGCTTGGCATCAATGTTACCATGAGACTTCTCCTGAAATTAAAAAGTTTTTACTTTATCTGCAAGATTTTAATATTTTTGTAACAACATAAAAGTTCATAGGTTGTCAAGAGTCACAGCAACCCCAAAGGGGCTTAAAACGCCAAATACCAAGATAATGACCTTTGACCTTGGAAGGACCTTGACCTCTGACCTTTGTATGTATAATACCCAGAGGGTGAGAAACACCAGAGATCAAAGATGATATACGCTTATAATGTAAATCTGTACTGAGATGACATCGTCGCTGATTGGTCAAAAGTCAACAAACAAATGACGTCATCAATGGCGGTTTCAAAATTTTCGAATTACGCTTTGAATAATATTATGTTCATCTCTGGCGTGTCAACCAATATCAGAGCTTCTCATTTCACATCAAGATAAAGAAAGGTGTACGGAATATGCCTATATCAATTAAAACATCCAATCGAAGTGTAGTATTTGATAACTTTCTCTCCTCTTTATAATACCCATTGGCCCATTTAGTATGTTCACAAAGTCTGATGACCCAACTGGCTATAGGAGGAGATGTCCAGAAACTTAGAGAGACAGAGAGAGAGATGGATGACTGAGCTTAAGAGATATCATGACACAAACCTTCCATAGGCATAGCACCGGTACGCACAGGCTACCAGATGGTTGCAAATTCGCTCTAAATACAACCATATTTCAAAAATTTCCTGGGGGAGAACCCCCAGACCCCCCTTAATACTCCTTTTTTGATTCACTCAACTCTTGTTCCTGTGGTGGTGGCGTACTACTTAGAAAAATATATGCTTTGAAAATTACTTTAAGTAATTGCAGGAAAAAATGTTTCCAAACATTATGCAATTCATAGATCTTTCTGAGTTTTTGAAGTATTTAGGAAGAGGAGGGAAAACCCCATGATTCAATTGATGACATACAATTTCCTCCTTCGCGCACCTCCTTTCCTGGAAGTATGTATACCCTCCATCTTGGTTTTCAAAGTTTTCAAATTGACCTAGTTTTAAACCAATCAACGATCGACTCGCTAAACCAATCAGCGATGATGTCATCTCAATACAGATTTACATTATAAGCGTATGTCATTTTTGAACCCTGGGGTTTCTCACCCTCTTTATTTATGATTGGACTTGAAAGATAAATCACTTGACTGACCTTCCACTGTGGTAGATGCTGTAAGCGGGGGAGGGTAGTTAAACAGCCAAGGATCCAGGCTAGTTCTGTGTGCTGGGGTATGGATGATTGTTGAAAGAGCACACATTTATCAGGGTCCAAGCCACAAGCCAGTAAACAAGCCACCATATCTCGGATGTTTTCCCTAGAACGAAAATATAAGATATAAGTCAAATAAATCACTTGTTGATTTTTCCATATTTTGAATGGATTAATGTCATATTTTAAAATTTTGTATTTGGAACTATTCACCAAATATTTATACAAACAAGATCAGTATTATCTAAATTTTGCATTTATATGACAATATTTTCACTGACCTCAGATTTGAGATTTGACCTTAAGTAAGTTTTGGAAAACATTTATTTCTCCATGTACACCGCCTTGTAAAATTTACTTACCTCAATATGTCTGGCTTGTGAGACACTGTGATAGAATGTAGGTCCACTATACTGTAATATACCGTAGGGTACTCTATTGTTACCCATTGTTTGATGGCTCCTATGTAGTTACCTATATGGGGAATGCCCGTTGGTTGTATACCTGAGAACACCACTTTTGGGAACTCTGGGGTGACCTAGAATATATAATTAAATTCCTCAAAACAACCAATTTGGGGAAATTAATTCTACGAAAGCATCTGTGTTCATTCGGTTGCTAAAACCCCTACATAATTGGTTATATCTGTACATTAGTGAGATAAGACTCATGAAACACAGGGTGCTATTGACACTGTTCCGTGTGGTTTTTATGTTATTTACAGGTACACTTAACTCGATACGCATGGTCTACAACTTTCAGTTTTGCACAAAGACTGCATAATCCATATACAGGGTGTTCCAAAAGTAACAGGACTGGTGCTGGCATTTTGTTAAATATGCAACAGTCGTCTTCAAAATTCGACATAATGTACTTTCATGTATCATTACTAAGATTACAAAGTTTCGACAAAATATATGAAACTCGGGTAGAGTTATGGTTGCTATAGTAACATGACATTGCAATACCTGGGGCAACATTCCACGCAAAAAATTACAGAGACATTAAGCATTTTGTACATGCCATATCATTTTGTACATGCCATATTAAAGTTGAAATGCAACAACTGGTGGGAATTTGTTTTACATTATTTGATATTCCTATGTGTCCTCTACTTTGAAAAATAGGCTCCTCTCTGGTCAGTACAAGAGTAGTACTCTGTATCCATGACCCAAACACATGAGTCAACCCATTTGAGGACATGTCACGCAGGGTAGATTGGACAATTTGGAGAAGGTCATTCTCCTTTTTAAAGGTCTTACAGCACTGATTAGCATTCCGTTCTCAATATAAGTAAAAATTAGATATTGCATGATCAGAAAAGTATGGTGCATGGTTTTAGACCTCAAGACCTAGCTCCTCTATAGCTGCATGGTCTTTAATGGTGACCTACAGGCAGGCGCGCTACCAAGGTAGATGACTGGCTTCAAATTGGGTATTTTCAAAAACTCAACCATGAATTGTTCAGACTGTTATATGTACATAGTGATATTCCAGGAAATTGAATAAATTATCATTATGAAATTATACTTGAATCTGATTTGTATAGCAACACCTTAACAACAAAACAACTAATAAAATAAACAAGAAATGTTGCATTATAATAGGTGAATTAGATACTTTCTTTAGTAAAACAAAAATTTAGATATCACATTTTCAGGAAAAAAGTTGCCCCCGGGTATTGGGATGTCATGTTACTATAGTAACCATAACTCTAATCACATTTCATCATTTTTTCTGAAACTGAACAATTTTAGTTGCAATACTTCAAAGTACAAGTTGTGAAAATTTGTAGACACTCAGTGCAAAATTGAAGTAGGTATCTGAAGTGTTAGAGCGTAGAAAATTCTACCATGTTATAATCGTACAGGTAAAAGATTGAGACGTTCTCAGGACTATAGTCCTGGCACGGGATAAACTGTACCAAGTACAAAAGGCAGCATTATAGTGCCAAGTGACGTACTGCATGACAACAAGGGATAAAGAAGAAGAAGAATAAATTTCGGGACCAGTGAACATGTAAAGGGGTTACTTTACTCACGGCGAGAGCTACCATGTTAGATTTTGAAAGTATAGCTCTCTATCCCTAGAATCAACAGCTTAAGAATCCTGACTTCAAAGAAAATTCCGGGGAATTCAGCTGACTCATGTTGCACATTATATACCTGAAAATGTATCCTACATCGCCATCTTTCATTCAGCTCAACTATAGAACGTCTCACTGCCCTATGTATCGATCAGGACTTCATTTTAATGGTCGTGTCAAAAGTTTTGGCCAGGTATATTCAAAATGGCGGCTTGACGTTTCCCAAGTTGCGCATGTGTCGATAATATTTCCGTTTACCGCCATATTGGAAATGGGTATCAAACAATGAAACGATTAGAACTCCTGATCGCCATAGAAGCACATCAGCGATCCTACATGCACGGGGAAAGTAGACACATATGAGCCCATATGTAGGCTACAGTTTGAGACAAACAGTAAGCCGCTGAATGGCGCTGATCAAATTTAGATGTCACAATTCTTCAGCTCGAGATCCTCACGATGGAGAGATATACTTTCAAAATCTAACATGGTAGCTCTCGACGGGAGTAAGGGTTACTGACACTTAGTCTAGTTATTTTCAACATTGTATCAGCTAATCTATTATCACCCACCAAAAGACCGAGAATAATTATTTTTATTTTCACTTTTTAATTGATATTCACCATACATAATCAATCATACAGCATAAATACCTTCGGTGTATCGACGCTGAGACTTCTATACAATTGGAACCTTGAGCAGCATGGTAAATTCCCTAAAATATGACTTTTATTGTAAAGTTTGATAACTTTTGAAAAAAATTGCATCGGGCTGCTCATGATGTTTATTCCGTTACAAATAAGAACGGTGGCTTTGAACTGTAAACTGCAAATAATTGCATGCCTTTGGTTGTGTAGGCGTCTTATTTTCTAGGTTCCTCATCCTGTAACACAATAGTTTCATAATATTCCCAAATATCCATGAAGATCATCGTGTATTATCTAAAATTTCTAAAAACAAACTCGAATTTAGTTTTTGAACGTTCATAAATTTGCTGCATCTTAAGTGAGGAATTGAAATACGAAGTGCTCCCGTGCACAAGTCTTTAAAAGTTTGTATTTGCTGTGGAGAAAAGTTTTCGCATATAAAATCGTAGAATTTGGGTGTTACGGAACGTGACAATAACAAAGGCTCGTAGGTATGTATATCAATTGATGAGGCTAGGTAACTATGGAAACTACATGTCTGTAGGGTGGTAATCAGTTTGAATTCTCTGAAAGTTCACTGTCCAGATTTGTGTGTAAACTTAGATTCAGAGAAAAATATTGATATTTTACAAAAAAATAACATCTTTTCATGATTAGCCATTGGCAGTCATACAGATTTGGGATAACAACACTGATCATATACATTCAGGAAAAATAATTCATATAGTGCTGACGGTAAATAATAAAGCGTGGGTTTTCAAACTACAGCGGTGAATATAAATAATTACTAAAGATAAAACAGAAATTTTAGTGACTAGTTCATATGGTTAAAATAACGAAATAATGAAATGTAACCATGTGTCTACTTATCAGTTTGATCTATGTCATCCATCCTGCTAGGTTACATTGTGGAACTCAGCCAAACACGACACTGAAGGCAGTATCCTGAGGCATGGGCTTTCAACTAGATCTAAATCTAAAAAATTTCAGATTTGCAGCCCCTAGAGATTTCCGGAATTGAACAAAGTAGCGAATGTTGCGATCTTTCAACTTTAGTTCGTTGTTTTTCACCACTTTATGTGTAGTGTTTTCATTTAGGAGGCGGTCTTATTTGAATGCATCATTTCAGGTCTTTATGAATCAATAGATCAATAAGCAGACTAAAAATTCAAATTTAGCAGTTTCTTTCGTGTCATACTGGGCCTGTTAGGCATGAAAAACAATTTAGCAGTTTCGTTCGTTGCGTAATTGGGCCTTCTATAATCAGTAGCAAATGCTCGCAAAACATTTTCCAAAATATTTACTTCCGTTTTCCTTGAAGACATGGTTGGGTGACACGTCATTAAGTCACATGATCGATACAGTAACTAGTCACGTGATCAGACACGTGTCTAGTGTCAGTCACGTGAGCTTGCAAAATGGACGATCTAAATTTCTAAGAATTCTACTAAGATCAGTATCGATGTTGTTGCCTTCATTGTCGTGTTTGGCTGCGTTCCACATTGTAACCTAGCAGGATGGATGACATAGAACAAACTGATAAGTAGACACATGGTTAAATTTCATTATTTCGTTATTTTAACGAAAAATTAAAAATAAGCCATTTTCTCAACTGTATGAATAATTCAGAATGATATCATGTAAAATTTTCAAATTCAAAATATTCATTTCATTGTTGAGACTGTATATATTTTATTTTATCCCACCCAAGTGATTTTAATATGATTGTATAATAGCATTGTATAACTGCAATATAAAACCAACACTCATCGTATATACAGTACGTATCAAAAAAAAACGCAACAGATTGTTATCTCAGAAAAGCACAAGACCAGTGATAACAGCTAAAGCCATGTGTCTCCACTTTACAATGATATATCATTCATTGATATTTGGTCATGTTTGGGTGAGTAATCATTCCATTTGCAAAGTGGGCCAAAATTAGCTTCGGGCCAAGTTATAAACATGGCAAAAGTCAGTGTACGGAGCCCGATGCAATATTGGACGAAAACATAAAACCAATGCTGACTGCATCCTTTTAATTCAATGTACCAAAAAGCCAAATTACTCCTCTTTGCAATGGAATATCATTCATTCACAGGGAGTCATCTCTGGCCAAATAATCATTAATTTTGCAAAGTGGGGCAAAATTCAGCTCGGACCCAAGTTTTAAACATTGCAAAAGTCAGTACAAGGGGCATAGGGGCTATTGGAAGAAGGTGTGCCAGGTATGGCATACTCATACTCATACTCTTGCAAGAATGCATACTTTACCCCTCCAAATTGCCACTACTTCCTTGCACATAAAGATGCACTCATCTGTCCATGTGGGTTAAAGCAAAGAAAAGCAGCCCATGGGCAAATCTTTCTCGAGGTTTTGCAATATCTGGTCGAGGAATTGTGAGCACAGATGCTCCTGAGATAGCTCCAAAAGAAAAAGTCACAACAATTCAAGTCATGGGAACTTCCATTGGCACTTAGTCGTTGCACTGATTTTTTCAATATCTAAAACTTGGCGCAGAGCCGATTTTGACCCACTGTGCAAATGGAAGGATTTCTCACCCAACCATTACCACATGTGAATGAATGACATATCATTGCAAAGAGGAGAGACGCGGCTTTATGGTACATTAAATGAAATTGATGTAGTCATCACTAGTTTTGTGATTTTACGAGATAACTACTTGTTGCGTTTTTTTGATACACCCTGTATAACTCTTGAGAACAAATATACCACTCCTGGATAGCGTATACAACTCCTGGATAGCGTATACAACTCCTGGGCAGCATATACAACTCTTCGATTTTATATACAACTGCTGAATTAAGATTAACCTTTTATTGATTAAAGATTAGGTTGGGATAACTTTCAGTCACTCGTGAATATATCATATACGTGTGCTCACTTGAGTATAAACACGATATATGGAATCAACTATTATAAAACCTCATAATTAATATATGATATTTGTTTTTGGTAATATTCTGTACACTCTAATTATTTATAAATGAGCATGTTTTCAAGTCAAATGCCAATATACATGTCCTAGAGTATGATTTTAAGGATTGCTTCAATAAATTAAAATACATGTACTACAGTGCTCACCATAAATAAATGACACCTGGATTTGCTGAAGTGAGGATTTCCCATGTTAAAAAGAAGATAATTTTCAAGAGGCCATACATCAGTGGATGAGAGCATACAAAATGTAAAATATACAAAACTTAAGGGATGTGTATCTAGACATTATTGGAAAGTATGAAGTCTCAAATCACCAATCTGGAAATGGTGATAGAAAATCCAGGTGTGATTTATTTATGGTGAGCACTTTATGTCAAACTAAATTCATTAAACCTTACTCTATCTTACCTCACAAAATAAATCAAGATCCATCAAAAACAGTTTATTTCATTTTGATGAAACCAATTACCATCCCTCAAAACATGTACAATAGTAACGAAACTGATGTATCATTAACAAAACAGAACTTCATGCTATACCCTTTGAATATATGCAAGAACATATTTTGACAGAATTCACTGTTTTGACACAACCCCTGGGTCAGTGTAACAATGTCGTTACCTGAAATATGGGGTCAGTGCCATTAGCATTATTGGTCAGTGCTCCATTACATAACAGGATAAAACCTTTATTGAACCCAGTATAAACCTGAATGCAAACATGAGTCTTTGACTAAAAAGATACACAGTACAGAAGTGTTTATTTTTCATTGCCTTGAAGCATTATTTTTGTTACATTATCAGGATCGTGTTAAAACCTAAACATCTATCTTGCACAGAAATGTTTATTTTGCATTGCCTGGATGTCTGATTTGTGGCTATCTACTTTTTCACTTGCTTGGAATGAGACTAAAATAACCAAAGATGTTCTATCATTTCATCTATAAAATGTCAATTGGAATTTGCAGATGCCATCTAATAGTTAAAATTTATTTATAATTACATTTATTAAATTATTATTTTATTTATATATGGTTTCATAATAAATTTTCAATTTGAACTGATTTTATCAATTGTTTCATTAATGAAATGAAATGAAGTATTGATTGGATAACTAATGATGTTTAGTATCAAAATTGATATTGATAATGATACCTATCTATCCAAAACAACATATTATTTTGGTAATACTGGTTTTCCCTGCAGTTGCATATGAGGGTTATGTTATGGGATATGGAGTATATCCTGAGGGAAATATTGATATGCCCCATACCCAAAATTGAGCATCATATAACTAAATGATTAGATCAGATTCCTACTTTGGGATCAAAAAAAGTTGTCTGTTTTAGTCAGAGATGAGTAATAACTGCAAGCCTGTTGGGGTCAGGGTAATGATTTCCTGATATCAATTTCATTAATAGAATAGGGTACACTGATTTGATATTGATTCCAATGTGCTAATATCACTCAGAATTATAAGCTATCACTGACATATCATTGTAAAGTGTACCATGCCAGAGATTCTCCAATAGAATGAAATATACATGTACCAAAACACAAGGGCATTTGATGTTTTTCTTTGATTGTGTAGAGTAACATGATACATTACTAGAACTGTAAATATAATTGACTGAAATTAATGTTTTTTCACTTTACTAATGGTGAATTATCATGATATACCTAATGGCCTGAAGAAAATACAAAAAATACTTAAATGGGCATATCAATGAAAACAAGAAGCTTAAATGTCACATATAAGCTCTATATAAAAGAGCTGTAAAATAAATCAGAATTTTCATTCAGTGTAAAACCTGTAAATAAATATAACTAGGGTAATGGCAGGTAATCTTGACCATTTATATAATATCGATCAATGTCTAATTATTACCACTAATCCTCAGACAGTCTTTGTTGTAGTGTGAGACTATCGATTTCCTATTGTACTAAATGTGTGCACTGTGTATATTTATTTATGTTATTGCCTAATAGGAAACCTCTCAAAGAACTTGTAGATAAAACATTGGAATCTGTTCCGGTATGTCACATATGCGTCTATAGTTAAATTTTAAGAAGGATGATTTAACCAACCTTTTAATCAGAAATTGGTTTTTTGGATATGTATCGTGTAAAATTGGCATATTTTGGTCAAATTGCATTATTCGATTTTAGAATTGGTATTGTTCTACTGGGAAAATGATGTTGAATCCCTTCATAAAATTGTTATTTAAAAATGTAGACTTTCTTGTCGCACACACATGCGTGGAATAATCAAAATATCACATTGGTTTAGATATCATAAATATCTATGATTACATTGACATATTCATGGTAAGCATATACTCTACATTCCTCAATCAATATCCTACATTCTATTGGTCATTTATGTATTTAAGTTTATGTTAAGCTATATCTTTACTTACTAGTCAAATACTTTATTTGGCAGGTGTGTGTGTTGATTACAATTACTTGTTTTCCTAAAATCGTGTCAGATTCAGGTTATTACGATTCTTGAATTTTATACGGGATTCCAATATCTGCAGAAATAATCCAGACATGCGTGGTGTATATACGAATCCCTTTTTCCAGTTAAAAAAATATTTATGTTTTCATGTTGGTTTTCACATTTTTACTCTGAATTGTTTTATGAACTGATAGGTTTTCTGACATTTTACAATTTATGTTACAAGTACTTTATAGTTAGCTTTACATTCAAATGTCAGTATTTTCATATAACATTATAAAATGTGACAGGAGATTGTTTCCTGATTTGTATGCAGTTCTTTTACTTGGAAACACCACCATCCCCCTCCCTCTATCTGTTCTAGCCAGCAGGAAGTTGTAAGTACCATCCTCTGAGCCTCAGGGTCTCAAATCCAACTGACAAAGATTGCTTTAAAGAATACTCTGTGTTTAGGAAGGCAGGGTTTATTTCAAGATATTTATAAAGAAAAAGCATGTGAATCTTGGCATTTGCTTGGTTTTATCTAGAGAACTTGTGAGACTTCACCTTTTTACCTAATAAGAAGTTTCAATTTTGAGTGAAACTCGCAAGATACTTTTTGTAGTAAATCAGGTATCCATGCATTCGTTCGACTTCACTTCTTAAAAAGATAGCTTCGTAGTTTATAACTAGACTCTGCACGCAGGGTAGTAATCAGGGGATTAGGGTTACATTTGACGTCAACAGATAAGAGATGTCAGGACTGATGCTATTTTAATTTACTCCATGTGGCTCCTTGCTTTAAGCCCATTGTCATCTCTGCTAAAGCTCATCGGCTAATCCTAGGACAACTCTCATTAACATCAAGCGAGTTCATGTAAGGTCATTCAGAGATATGAAAACATACTTTACAGTACATGTTTGTCATTCTGATATTCGTGTCTTTTTGTTTCACTAGAAATGTGAAAACATGAAACCCATTGCATGGCTGAGAAAAATTGAGGTGTTATGGTTTATCATGATGCATATCATGTACATAGTAGAAAATATAATTATTTTTTACATAAGGTAAATAATTCACATTTCTGAGATCTTTTCAAATTTTATTATGTCACTGACCAAAAGTGGTTATGGTCTCTATTTTTGTGATGGTTGTCGGAGTTTGGCGATTGGCATCTGTAGCAAATGGCATGTGGTGATATTTTGCATGTTAATGCCTTCTTGGAGTATAGTACCCTTTGTAAAAGTTTGACTTCATTTTCAAGAAGATTCCTTCAACTACACTCTGTAAGGAATATATAATTCGATGATCTAACTTTCTTATCAAAATCAGTCATCCAAAATTGACTATCCAATTAAAATTTTAGCCACTTGTATTTTATTGCAATTGTCTCAATTTCAGGGTAATATTTTTGTGTTACCTTTTTAGGGTAATATTTCAGTATACTAAAGCTCAGAGTATCTCCAAGATGAGGATCGAATTATTGAAAAGGGTAACAATTTAATTAATTATCAAAAACCACTGTCATGCATGACTAATATTTATTTCTCATTATGGTTTTACTTGTATTTTCAGAGATCGAATAATGAACAGTGAGTGGAATAATGCATCAAGAAGAACGTCATAACCTATTGGTTGGCATTATTATATCCGGCTAGGATGCTTATCCACTCATTGTGAATGCTGTAAGGACTGAGCCATGGCATAGGATCAAAAATCACAGTAGATTTATAATTAATTTTGGCTACTAGCGCTAGATAAAGTCCGTATTCATTCTGTACTAAGTAGTTCTCATATAGTGATATATAAGTTTCTGCAATAAGAGGTTTGTGTGAGGTTGACTATACTAATGGAGGAATACAATTCGTCTTCTTATCGTAAAAAGAAACACACAATTTAGTTCAATCTCATGCTTGTTTGTTGTGACTGTACAGAGCTGAATAGGGCTTTAAGCCCATATAATAACACGCATTCATTGACGGACTAATGAGAGAATTGTTGTAATAGCGAGAGAGCTTAAGAACAGAATGCTGGATTTAACGCAGTATAGAATCCCCGATGCTTGGATACAATGAAGAGAATTGTTAATAGGATATCATTTGGATTTTGACTGCATTGTTTTAGTAGTGTTAGGAGTCATAATGGCATGAGCCTAAGGTGGTGCTTTAATACGTACTTATTAGGCCTTCGAAAGACTTAGGAAGCAAATGCAACTATTATTTTACATATCAGCCCTTTAGCTGTATCGGATATATATTTACAAATACTAGTTATTGCTGTCATAACAGGAGTTCATATGAGATGAGCTAAGAATTACAACTATCAGAGGAAACATCAATTTTGTGAATATTTCCTGGCGTGCATATACAATTAACAGGTAATATGAAAATGTAATTTACACTGAAGGAAAGACAGCTTGATAAATTAAGGATAAAAATATCAACAAATCACTTAACCTATTTACATTATGTCAACACTTGAAAAGACGCCTCTCGCTGGATCAGATAGTCGTGGTACATACACCCCGGTGGAAATGTCGGAATTACGCCCTGATGCGAATTCTAACACAAATACTATTCTAAATACAAATACGACAAAAAGGACTCGAAACGCGAGTGTTACAATCGAGCCGGATCTGTCGTCAAGTACGAATTCAGCTTCATGGCCAGATGGTCGAAATGCACCAGTTGATCGTAGCTTCGAGCAGAGATATAATCTACGACACAAGACGCCATTAAAGACATCAATACAAGGAAAAGTCTACAATTTCCTGGAAAGACCTACTGGATGGAAATGTTTTATTTATCATTTCACCGTGTGAGTACTCAACTTTTACATTTTCTATATAATCTTTTTTTCTATATTGCATAACATTACAATATCTTACATGACAATTACATAATCAATTGTCTCCATAGAACACATCTTCATGTTCGTTTTATTCTTTAAAACTTAACAATCATACATTCACACATATCTGTCATATTAAAAACATACAAAATTGGTGAATCTTATTCAGTATCAAGAATACAAAATTATGATAGACATCTTTTTAATATATAAATTTGTTTTAATATATATTTGATCATTTATTGACTCTGATGTCATAGCAATGACATAGTATTGGTCACTACAGTACATAATATTAATAATTCGAAATGACACACATTTTATAAAGCAGACAAAATAATAATAACTTAAAAGTATATGTTTTTTACCAATCATTCAAAATTACATATTACATACTGAGAATTATACAATTATTAACTTTTATCATACTAAAGTACATACTAAGCAGTTTAAGTGGACATATTAGTATGAACAACATAAGCATCATTAACATCAAACATAGGGGGCCAATAATGCTATATAGCCTCGGTCCCTCACAATTATGTAAATAATTGTGTTGAATAATATGGAAATAAATAACAATAAC